ATAATATTTGAACTTTTAAAAATGTAAATGTAAAAACTATTTAAAAGATTTTACATAATAATTATAGATTATCTAGTTTCGATATTAATTATAATAATTATTAAATATTACAGCATATTGACACATTTATGAGTACAACAAAAAATGTGGGGCGAGACGTCCACAAAGTCCACAAAGATTTTATCCATTAGGAATTAGTAATAAAGCAAAACTGGAAATTTTGTTTTACCTAAAATTATCACTTTATTGTTATAAATATATTCTAGAATAAAATATATTTTATATTTAATTGTACATTAAATAGAACAAAATCAGCTCATGAATTTACATTCTTGCATTTTTCTGTGCATTTTGCAGTTATCACCATCATTAAAGGGAAGGTGGAGGAGACTGAACTGCCGGTGGATCAGGTGGACATCATTATTTCAGAGTGGATGGGCTACTGTCTTTTCTACGAGTCTATGCTCAATACTGTCATCTACGCCAGGGACAAATGGCTGGTCAGTGTGTGTGTGTGTGTGTTGGCTGTCACAAGGCCAAGGTTATGTGACTAATTAGAATGTGAAGCATGTGTCCATGCTGAAAATTATCATTTATAATGGGAATGAGTGGCTAGTCATTGGGCTGCTGATGAATGTCTACCACTGAATGACAATTTTGTCCAGAGGACAAGTGGCTTTTTTACATTTTTATGGAACCATTGTGTTAGTTCCAGGGCATTGTTTCACCCTAGGGTTATTTTTATGGTGCATTGAACAGGAAGGAAAAGAAAGAATGATGTGAAGTCACTGGAATAATAGGAATATAATCACGCATATGCCAGGAACACGTTTTTGAAGATTAAAATATTTTATGAGGGTAGTTTCAACAGTGTCCTGTGGTGTGACAAGATATAATTAATCTAAAACCATTTAAAAGATTAGATATTAATAAAAGATTTCCATCTAATTTAGATAATAATTATTATATTCATATTATTTATAGTGATAATATATAAAAAATATTAAAACTAATTAAAGGATTTTAGATAATAATGATAGATTATTTAAATGATACTTATTATAATAATGATTATTATATTACATTATATGTTGATTTATGACCTCATTTTATTTATAATGATAATATTTCAACAAATTCTAATTCAGAATATTTAAAAGATTTTAAAATAATATTTTTATAATTACTAAAATATTATATTATATTATGTTTTATGACCTATTATGTATACTACTAATGATAGTTGAACTTATAATATTTTTAAATTAGAATTTTTAAATTACAGTATATGTCAATTTATGACATACTAATTATAACAATAATGATA